GCTGTCCTGAGAGGGCACAGGGATCCCTGCACAGCCCGCAGAGCACCTTGTCCGCCCAGAGCCAGGCTGGGCACCCCGAATCAATGAGGGGTCCCCCAGCAGTCCCCAGGCAGGAAAAATCAGAGTAGTTCATCCATAATTGAATCATATGGCAGCTTTCAAGTTCAAGGAGCACTCAGAGGCTCCACTCCCTGACCAGCACCCCAGGGCAGCCTGGGCAAACCAAGGGGACATCAGATGCACCGTGAGCTTGGGGCAGCACCAGCACAGCCTCCGAGCCATGAAGCCTGGGCTAAGCATGGGGACCCCTGGGACCCCTGTAGCTTCCCATTGCTGAATGACACTGGAAGATGCTCACAGGCAGCCCCGCATCCAGCTCGTCCCGGGGCTGCAGGGCACTTCCCAGGATCGCCTCCCCGTGGGAACTGGCCGCGCAGCGCCGCAGCCCAGAGCTCAAGGCTTTGGACACTTCCTTCCATTCTGCGCCCGGGTTTCCGGAGTTTATCGGCCCCAAACAATGCAGCCCTTGCAAAGCACCTTCCCCAGGCAGATAGGGCCCCCGGCAGGCGGGCTGGCCGCGGCGACATGCAGCCGGAGCACACGGGGCGACAGGCGGCGGGAGCACACCCCCTGCCATTGTCCAGAGAGGCTCCGGGACAAAAGGCAGCAGTGGAGCTCACTGGAGGAGTCCCAGTGCTCCCACCCACAGCATGGTCTGAAAACAACCCCCTCGCAGCCCCACTGCGGGATGAGGGGGAGCAGGGAGGAATGCTGGCCACGATGGTGTTAAAAGGGCCAACAAGATGAGCCCCTCTGAAATGCTCCCAGAGGGGGAAAAAAAACCAAGCACCTTGATGGATGCTGTGGCCACTGGTTGCAGGTATCACTGGTGCTTGGCAGCTTGGAAGGGATCCAGAGGGGAACTGTGCATCAGTGTCTCACTCCAGAAACCTCAGAGGGCTTCATCAAACTACTCCAAAAGCAAAGCCCAACAAAAGTGTATCCAGGGGGATGGCAACAGCCCAAAATTCCATGCATGTGGTGGCCCAGCACAATGCCCAGCTCCCCTGCCCGGTGCAGCCCCTGGGCATCCTATGTCCATCCACAGGTAGCCAGAGAGGCAGGGCAATGGAAACAGGCAGGAGTGCCTCAGGAGGGCATGTGGGCAGGGGGTTTAGGCATATAGAGCCAGACAGAGCTGCCCTAGACCTGGCAGCACCTGGAGGTCCAGCAGCCCCACTGCACGGGCTCCAAAACAACCGGGTCTCATCTGCACCAGAGCAGCGTAACGCAGGAGGAGCTCAGTTCACCTCTGCTGAACACCCACCCAGGTCAGCTCAGGAAGGGCACTGGGGGCTCTCCAGGGCAGGAGTGGGACATGTTCCCTGGGTATCCCCCCCCGCAGTGAGCAGGCGGCCCCAGCAGTGCGGCACAGCCGCTGCCTGCAGGGCTGCACGCTCCCGGCTGCACGCACAGTGGCACTGTGAAACCAGCAGACTCGGCACTGGCAGCACTAACAGGACACTCAACACTGCCAACACCTCCCTTGCACTGTGTCCCTGCCAAAAAGCTCCATTCTTGATAGGATCTGGGAGGGTTTCTGAACCCCCCAGCCCACAATTTCTGGCATTAGAGAGTCTGGGCTACCCTTTTCCACAGCAGCCTCATCTGACCAGCCTGGGTTAGACTTGTTAAGGGCTCTCACCAGCTGTCTGGGACTCTGAGCCCAAAAAGTGCTCCAGAAAACAGCAGCAGCGGTGGTGTTTCAAGCAGCATGAGCCTGGCAGGAAGAGGGTTAACCCCATCACAGGTTTAACCCCATCATGCTGGGTAGCATGCAGGGCTCTGTACTAACCTCTCCTGGCAAGGAGCCAGCACCATGAAGCAGCATGCAATGTGGTTCTGCACTCTGCAACGGGGTCCTGAGCAACATGACATGGTCCTAAGCTGTGTAGCATGACCCTGAGCAATGCAGCATGGTCCCGAGCCAAGTGATACAGCCCTGAGCAGAGCAGCTCCCACAGTCACAGGCAGAGATGAAGCTGGGGTGAGCTTGGTTGGGCAGAGCAGGGTGCTGAGGATCTGCTCTGAGCACCCAGCCAGGCTTCACCCCGGGGAGAACAGGACAAGCGGTGCTTCCCAGGCACAATCTCTGCAATGGCACATTTGCTCTTGCAAAAGCTCAGCCAAGCCAGGCTCTGCTGGGTTGGTTTGTGAGCAGAGCTCCTGTTGCATGACCCTCCATCGCACCTCTGTTCTGCGTGTCAGGGTCAGGAATCACTGCTGAGCTCAACCTTCTCCTGAGATGGGCCCTCCACAGTGGTCAAAGCCCTGCAAGAGGGTGGCTGGGGCAGAAAGACACACTGCAGCTGCATGCCCAAGCACACTGGGCATTCTTTGTGTTAGCCCAAAGGCCCTCTGGAGCCTGGCTTTTTCCTGTCCCTGCTGCTGCAGGCAGCTCCTTGCAAGCGCAGACACCCAGGTACACCTCTCCCTCCATCGGTCTCAGCAGACAGCAGCCCTCCAGGACATGGGACTTTCAAGATCTGGACACATTGGTGGGAGATGCCCACCAAGAGCATCAGCACACTGCCAAGCATCTCCCAGAGCTGACCGTCAGAAGCAGGCACATTCCCGGCCCCTCAGATGCCAGCTTTGCTGTGGCCACGGGGAGATGGGCCACGTGTCAGTTCTGTGTCCTCAACGTAAGAAGGACATGAAGCTGTTGGAGCAAGTCCAGATGAGGCTACAAGGATGATCAGGGGGCTGATGTATGAAGACAGGCTGAGAATATTTGGGCTGTTCAGCCCTGGAAAAGAGAAGCTGCGTGGAGACCTCAGAACAGCTTCCAGTGTCTGAAGGGGGCTACAAGGATGCTGGAGATGGACCTTCATCAGGGACTGCAGTGATAGGACAAGGGGTGACGGGTTCAAATTTAAGCAGGAGAAATTCAGGTTAGACTTATGGAAGTTCTTCCCTATGAAGGTGCTGAGGTGCTGGCACAGGGTGCCCAGCGAAGCCGTGGCTGCCTGATCCCTGGCAGTGTTCAAGGCCAGGTTGGACATAGGGGCTTGGAGCAACCTGCTCTAGTGGAAGGTGTCCCTGCCCGTGGCAGGGGGTTGGAACTGGGTGAGCTTTAAGCTCTCTTCCAACCCAACCCGTTCCATGATTCTGTGGTGGTACACCTCCACCCCAGGAGCTCCCCCATCACACAACCAAGCAGGACCCAGCAGGTCACGTACCTTTCTGTGGCCTGAGAACAGCAGCGTGAGCTGGTGGATGGAGCCGCCATTCTTGGTGAGCTCTTTCTTGAGGGTCCTGGGGGAGGGCAGGGCCCAGTGGCCCTTGGTGTCCTGGCTGTCCAAGCAGTTGAGGGTGGTGTCGGAGGTGAAGCAGTGGCTCTTGGCCTCCTGCAGCAGGCTGCCCTCACTGTGGGTGCGGCGCCGCAGGGAGCTCTGCACGCTCAGCGTGTAGACAGGCTGACAACCCGATGTCTCAATCATGCTGCTGCGCTTCACCTCGTTCCTCTCCAAGTACTGCTCATCCCCGTCCTCCTCCTCATCCTCCTCCTCCTCATCTTCCTCATCCTCCTCTTCATCCTCATCCTCATCATCCGTGGTGCTGCCCACCATGCCCGCTGCGCTCTGGCTGAAGGTGCTGTCGAGCCGCAGCTCGGGGATGACAAAGGCTGGCAGGGTGCTGGGCTGCTCCTCTCCTGTCTTGGTAGCCACCGGCTGCTTTGCCAGCAGGAGAGGATCCTGGGTGGCTCCAAGAGTGGGCTCTGTGGATGGAGAAGCATCACCTGCTGCTGCCTTCCTGTCCTCTGGGTGCACCTGCCCCGGCTTCTCAGCGTCTGTCTCCAGCATCTGCCCAGAAAAAAAGATACAGAAGGATGAAGGCAGAAGCACCTCAAATCTCTCACTTGCACCTTCCTGGGGAGACTTTCTGCTCCTAAAACCACAACCACAAGGCTGGTACCAATTTCTACAGCCCTAATGGTGCTCTGGTCAGGTGGGGTGGCAGCATCCCCACATCCCCAGCTGGTGGCAGATCACCCAACACTCCCACAGCACCCAGTCCTGGTTCTGACCCCTGGAGCTCCGGATTCCCCCACCATCAGAGAGCTGGTGGCTACGGGGCAGGAGCGGGATGGGGCCTCCCAGCTCCCACCTGCAGCACCCAGCAGCACTGGTGGGCTGGAGGAAAGCAAGGGCCGGTGGAGGGTGGATCAGCCCCATGGCAAAGCTGGGCTCAGCTCCAGCCACAGAAGCAGAGCCAGTAACATCATAGAGTCATGGAATAGTTTGGGTTGGAAAGGACCTTAAAGCTCATCCAGATCCACCTTAAAGCTCATCCAGATCCAAGCCCCTGCCGCGGGCAGGGACGCCTTCCACTAGAGCAGGTTGCTCCAAGCCCCTGTGTCCAGCCTGGCCTTGAACACTGCCAGGGATGGGGCGGGCACACCTT